TTTTTTATGAACATTACTTATTTGTTACTTTACAAATTCCTTGCGGGCCGTTTGTGTTGTGTTATTAAAAACACATCTAGATGTCTAGATCTAAGTACTAACCATTATTTATTGCAACTTGAAGCATACATAAATGTGTAAGTGTATGCTGAAATCAACATTGAAGCTCATATTGAAGCATCGGATAGAAAACAAATATGGCATGTATTTTAAAACTGGTCTAATTTTGATAAAAAATATATTGAAAGAATAGTTTGCTTCCCCCAACTAACTTGAGTTCTAACTAGAGCTCGTCGCCATGTTCTCAGATAAGTCTTAGAGATTCAGTGGAGTGTTCTATTAATAGAACACACAAGTGGTTAAACTCTTGAGTTACCTTGAGATATTCTCAGTCGGTGTTGTGCTGTCAGGGAGGGGGAGAGAAAGGAGGGGGGGGGCTAATGAGACGACCCCAGTTGTGTCACGTGATCTATTGATGACCTAGTGACGTCACACGATCTATTGATGACCGGTGACGTCAAACTGTCTTAATGACCAATGGACATCGGTCACTCTGTCAAGGGAGGTTGGGGTAAGAGTCTACCCCTAGGATTGCCACATCTACTGAGATCTACACAAGACAAGGACAGCGCCAAGGGACATGGAAATTAACAAGGGACACAACACCAGACATGGACAGTAACAAGGGACACAACACCAGACATGGACAACAACAGGGGACACAACACCAGACATGGACAGCACCAAGGGACACAACACCAGACATAGACAGCAATAAATTGACAATAAAAATCAAATTGTAAGCCACCATGGTTTATTCTGAAAATCTAATACAGTGAACACATTGTTTTCTGGGGTAGAAGCTGCTTTAGATTTTAGGTTAGTTTTTATATATTTTTGTTAGATTTTAAGTTAGCTTGCAGAAATTTTGTTAGCATTAAAGAATACAAATTCATTCAAGATATAACAAAGTGGCTAAAGCTACATACAAAAAAAAAAATTAAATAAAGACAAGAGTAATACATTGTAACAGCTTTAACGGGACAGAAAAAAAAAACTCATTCTGACAGCCAACATTATGTTTTGCTACATAATTCTTGCATATGTACATACAATCTATATCAGGCGATTTACTGCCTTTTAACTGGTCTGTATTTAAGCAGTTAATTTAAATACTATTCATGTTGCTGACATCACTGTTAGCTGATGTGTGGTTAATACCCTACAAAAGAATGTATGGATGTATAGATGTATACAATGAAACATATCACTTTTCCAGAGCCAGACTCCCATCATTTTTTTTAGATTTATTCAATATGTTCTAAATCAACCAAGGTATCATACTTTGAAAAATTACTTCTCAACAATTCCATTTTACCAAATCTTAATACAATGTTAAGGAAAACTTAACAAGAAAGTCTTGTTGCGCACTTTTGAAAACAGTCTAGGTCTAAAGAAGCAATATGTATATACAAAAAATATGTGTATATATATATATATATATATATATATATATATATATATATAATATATATATATAATATATATATACTTAACTATACATATAAACATAATATTATAATATTATACTGTATCGCGACTATAACCATAAAAAATAAAATAATTGACAGTGAAGTTTTTCTAATGTTGTCCCATTCCAGTTAATAAGGCAAAAAACTGCTGAATTTGATGTGGTATAACCTTCCTTGCTTGTCTGGTATTTGTAAGTACTGGTTTACATAAATACTGTTACTTAATAAATCACTGAATACCTTATTTACCAAACATTCATTAATTCAAAAGCTTACAAAAATGAATGTAGTAATATTTGTTGAATAAACTTTAACCTACCAAAACCAAACTACTTTAAGCAATAGATTTAAAAATAGAAGTGAAAACCAATTAAATAAATTAGAGTCATCTTTTATATAAGACTAGATGAATCTACCATTTTCTTTACAAAAACATGAATCATGTGTTATAATTTTCATCAAACTAATACAATTTATACTGTAAATCCTTACAGCAATGCACCACAAAAGAGCATGATTAGATGAGTACCAGCCAAATCTTTATGAACCATAACTCTGTTTTAAATGTCAGATTGTCTCCCTTCTGATGATTGCTATAGCTAAACAATAAATACATCAATTGGTACATTTAATAAATGCAATTGTAAGAATGCATCGAAGAATATCGTCTAAACACACACAGTATAACTTTTTTGAAATAAATAAGTGTGTTGAAAATAGTTGGATTGTATTGTCTATACCAAGAGAAAGGAGAATAAAATAAATATAAGCTACGCAGAAAAGAAAACTATTTTATAAACTTTCACCTCAAAAGACGTTAACATGAGAAAGCAAGCATGAAAACAAATCTTATATAATATGTGGTAGATTGTTCGAAGGTGTATAGAAAATAAGAACAAGCCAGTTTGAACAAAATGTAGAAGAGAGAGGCTGAAAACAAAGCTTAATTATGACCGGTTAATTAGAATAATTAGAGTACTGACACCATAAGTTGAACACTCTTGAAAAACAAAAAATAAAAAGTGATGACAGCAAGTTGCAAACTTAAAAAAAAAACTAGATTCTATAAGAAATTTTACTAAAGATATATAATACAGTGAATGCAATAGTTAATCCTTTACATCACATAAGATTAAAAAACTTGCTATGAGATACCTACATAAAAAGTATGTGGTGGTATTGACACTAAAAGTTGACTAAAGTTAAAGCTAAGACCTCCACCTAGAATTTTTTTAAAACTCCTGACAGCATCACCAAACTGTAACTTTATAAATGCTAAATATTTGACAGGCTCTAAACATGACTGGATTAGCAAGAGGTTCCTGAGCCAACTCAGCACCAATACTTATCCATCAAGAAAATCAAGTCCAGCTAGATGGTATGGTATGCTGGGTTTGAGGGAGAAGAAACTTCCTTTAGGCCTGTAAGTAGTGTAAGATTCAATAATAAACCAGAGCATCTCGTTAAAAAGAAATGTGCAAAAGATGAATAAATGTATGAAGCTACATAAAGAAGAGAATATTTTTTATATATTAACTAAGGAATCATGCTTGCTACTACACATGTCATCAACAAAATCTGAACAACTGAGGTGTAGTTTCAATTACAAGTGTACACATTAGTCAGTCCTAGACGGCCAGAAATATTTCAATACATTATTTAATGCTGTTCAATTTGAAGACAATCCATTCATTAACAAACCACTGCATTTAAGTTAAATGCAGTGATTTGTTAATTAATGGATTTGTGTTTTACACATAAAAACCCAAATACAAGACACTAATAGTGATTGTACAGTCATTAGTAGGTATGCAGACCAGGAACATCAACAAGACAGCTGCTAGGTTTACATACAAACTGTCTTGCTAGCCCAACCATTACGTGACCAGCACCATCATCATCTGACCAGCACCATCTGACCAGCACCATCATCATCTGACCAGCACCATCATCATCTGACCAGCACCATCCTTGTCTGACCAGCACCATCATCATCTGACCAGCACCATCATCATCTGACACCAGCACCATCATCATCTGACCAGCACCTTCTGACCAGCACCATCATCATCTGACCAGCACCATCAACATCTGACCAGTACCATCCTTGTCTGACCATCTGAACAGATTTAATCTTACTTTATAACATTACAATTTTTAAATCACTATCACCTCATTCTATTTTTCAAGTTTTGAGAAAAAATGAGTCAAATACTGAAACAATGAAATTTAAAAAAAATTAATTAATTAAAGCGCTTACTACTTTTATATGATTTATGATTTTATAAAATGCACAAACTTTAAATTTCAACTACTAATTCAAATTCCCAAAAACATTGTTTAGGTCATTGTGTTATCTTTACAGAATTTTTTTTAAGGAAAACAAATTATTTATGCTAAAAAAAAAAATTTAAACAGTCAAAAATAAATTCTGCCTTGGATTTGTACAAGTGTAAATTAATATTGCAAAGTATTTCAATACTTGAATATGATTGCATGTTATGTTTTAGTAAATACATTTTTAAAAAATGTTTGAGTTGTTTTTATCTTATCATCACAGTAGCAATGGAAGTATTTTGTGCTGCTTCTCTCCAGCAAATAGCAAAACAATTGTAATAATAGTGTATAAGTGGTTCTCACACTTTATAACATGACACAATACTTTTGATGACAAAAAAATGGTTAACAAGAAAATCATAAAGGTTGCATAAAAATACATTTTGTCAACAATAATTTAGTAATAAGCTCATGAAAGACAGCCATTAGACAGACTACTGGTGCTGTAATAGACAGCACACATCATCAGAACACATTTTAACAATTATTATGCTCAATTTACATGCAGTAACTTATTAAGAAATTTGTTAGTAATAGTAAAATATAACAGCAATAAAATAAACTTTCAAATGTTTGTTTTGATTATGTTCTACTCATAAGGCATTGATTAATCTTTTGCTAAACATTTCTTTGACATGCCAAATGAACTCATCAAATTTAATATGAACCTGTCTCGTTAAATCAATCAAACCAGCCAGCAGAACATGAACTATACTAGATCTTAAATCAATCAAACCAGCCAGCAGAACATGAACTATACTAGATCGAGTAACCAACTGAAAATATCATACACAAACTTTATCTACTGGTGGACAACAATGGGAACTTTGTTTAAAACAATGCAGGGTACAATAGTTATGAGAACCTACATGTTGTGTGGGAACAGGGCATTAACCCCCCCCCCCCCCCCCCCAGGACAGGGTTAGATTAGGCTTAGGGTTTGTGTTAGGGTTGGGGTTAGGGCTACGGCTTGGGTTAGAGTTAAGGTTTAAAAACAATGTCTAGCATTGGTTTTGTGTTAAGTTTTAGGCTGAGGTGAATGCTTAGGATTTGCTCTTTTTGAGTTAGAGTTGGGATTCTAACTTTGGGGAGGAGGGGGGATTGACAGGGGGCAATTGCTCCAGGGGGGGGGGGGGGGTAATGTCCTGTAGCCATGTTGTGTTAGCTGAGTGTTAACTGGTATACAGAATAACTTTTTTAGGCATCAACATCTGTCCATAATACTTACAAAATAGTAAAAATCTCCTTAGATATGAACCAAATACACTATATTTTATAATATATTTATTTTAAAAAACTCATAATCTGGCTAGAATACTATAACCATGAATACAGTTTGATTTACAAAACAAAACCTAACTCATAGTATATTAAAAGGTAGAGAAGAGTTTACTTGGTCCCAATAAACAGTGGTTTGAAAATAGAACAGACATAGTCAACAGCCACTGAAGTTTTTAGTTTGCCTACAAACACATTATTATTCTTAGAATGCTAATTCATACAAGTGAAGCAGCCGAAGCAAATTTAAACACCAACCTAAACAGCATGTTTAATCAACTACACACAGATTTCTGCAGCCTAATAGAATTCATCTCTCTTTCTAATAGTAATAGTTTTACTTTGTTGAGTCATAATCAAAATAATGTTCTTTTAGTAAACACAAGAGTTAGGTTCAAAAGCTACACAAATGTTAATAAACAGTTGACAAAAACAACTCTAATAAATACATGTTAGAATGTTGATAAAGTTAAGTAAATCTTGTAAGGCTAGTGGTATCTATCAATTGGTGGAGAAGGTGAACACAGAGTGTAAACAACACAGTAGCAGCAATTGAAGCCTCAATCTATTCAGTATAACACACATACACTGCCTCTCTCTTCACAGTATCTAGAAGCTAGCCATGGATCCAATGTACTCAGTACAACAAATAGTACCTATAAACCTGGAATTATTTCCCTGTACCCAGGAGCCTGACACTAGCTAGATGCAATTAAACAACAAATGGCACCTAGGATCCTGGCGTGGCCTCAGTGTACTCTGTTACAAGAAACTTTTTCTCAATGGTGATTTTGGCACAGCTGTCCACCAGCCTTGGTGTGGGTATGCGGTCATTCAGCATGATAACTCTCTGATTCCTTACATCGTACAGCAACATTGTGTCCACTAGAGCTCGGATAGGATTGGGGCCAGGAATGATCCTCTGACCACCCAGAAGTAGCAGAGAACCTCTACGATGAACCAAGCCGTAATGGACACAGTCAAAGTTCTGAATGTGACCCATGACTTTGACAGTGTCAGTCCGATGGTCAAACTGGACAATTTTCCCATTGTACAGAATGATGTAGCTACAATTGTTACAAACTGTTGCCCGGGTCAACTTGCATGCCAGGGGAAGTTGTGCAACAATGCTGACTGAGTGCGTCAGCGTGTCAAAACATTGAATTGAAGCTGTATCTGTGCGGTCGTTGGTCTCACCCCCAAACACAAGGACCTTATCCTTGGTGGCGGTGGCTGATATTGAGCTCACAGGAATAATGAGGTGTGCTACTTCCATCCACTCGCTACAGCCTAGCTCAAACTCTTCTATAGAACTCAGGACTTTGGTGCCCTGGCCAAGCTCGCTGTTGTAGCCACCAATCACATAGATCTTATTTCCACAGGCAGCCATTGCATGTCTCCTCCTGCCATTTTTCAGCTTAGCCCTACACTGGGACCACTTATCTTTCTTAGAACGGAACCGCAAGAAACAAGATTTGAACAAGCCTCCCCCAGTTACAAAGATATCGTTGTTGTGCACACATGTGGCAAATTCAATGCCTGGGTCGTAGGGTAAAGGTGAGAGACGAAACCATTTACGGCTATAGAATCCAAAAGCCAGAACATTCTTAGATCTAATGTAGGGTGGCCTGGGAGATTCTCCACCAGAAATAACAACCAGAACATCTTCATACTGGGATGTTTTTCTGTATGACGTCACCGGACTACTGCTGTCATGGCGATGTGCTGGCAAGAGCTGAAAATTCTTGGCATGATCTATATACATGTGGCATTCCGTGTGTTCTTTGACAACAGCATACTTTCTCAAAATATCTATCAGGAACTGGGGTTTGGTTAGCGGCAGCCGCAGATATGGGAAAATGTCCCCCAGGAGTTGACCTCTGACCTCTAGGTCATGCTGCACCCACTTGAGAACAGTTTCTATGACAAACTCTTCGTTGGGGCAGTTCAGCTCGTCTTCCTTTATGATTGAGATGAGCTCGTCTTTCTCCAGAGTCAGGAAATATTCCTGCTGAGAAATCTTGACAAAATTTGACATGATGAACTTCCAGGCCTGCTGCTTTAGGTGTTGACTACAGTGCCAGATAGCTAAGCGCCACCGTTCAAAGCAGTTGTTTATAGTTAGAGTTTTACAGATGAACTCTTCACACCTTTTTTGAAGACATTCCATCTGCAGCAGGCAAGCAGCCTTCAATATGGCTTCAGCATTGCCTTCATTTACAGAATCTGTCCCTTTGTAAATGTAGTCAAGTATGGCCTCAAAAATAGCACTGTCTGTGCCTTCTATCTTCACAATGCCGGAAACACTTTCCTTCATGCCAGATGAAAACATGGCATCAAAGTATGGCGATATGGCACAGAGTATGACTCTATGGCACTGGAAGGTCTTCTCCCCAACAATAATGGTTGTATCTGAGTGTGCCCCACTTGTGTACAGACGCTCCAGGCCACAGGAAATAGCATTGTAGTACTGTTGTAGCCATGACGTGGCTCCCTCCATGTTTGAGCCAATCACTTCAAAACTGGGACTGATGATAGAAGTAATATAAATTATAAAAAAAAGGTTCCTAACAACAATGTAGAAAATACAATTCATTTGGGTTTAACAAAAAGAGAGTGGTAAGCTAGTGAGTGAAATACAGGTGTCAGTGAGAGAAATCTATTGAATTTAGACCCTACGATTGTTTACTCAGCAGGATGACACTCAACCAACTGCTAGACCAAAGCTCTCACATTTGGAACTCAGTTATGTACTCAAGACTGCAGGACGTCCCTGAGTCCCCCCAGCTATGATAGAAACATAACTCTCATTAGGGAAAATAACTGTAGCTGGGCATAGTGCTGACTACATCATCTCTTCATCAAATGCAAAGGACATGAAACACATGAACTCAACTTTATCTGCCCTATGGAACTCTTGTGCATTGCCAGTTAAAAAGTCGAAATGATCCTTGGCTTGCCATAGCTTGAAACTTAAGAGTGATATAATATGGCATATGGTTGTAATCGAAAGGTGTGTCATGCCATGGCAGTGAGTGACAATAAATATGAAATTATGTAGACCCCTAATTTTAAATTTAGTCTAAAAAGAGCTAACCCTCAAAATTAGTGCCTAATGGATTAAATAATAATAAATATGGATGTCTATTATTACGCATATTCAGTGGTCATGTTTAAATTGAAAATTGAGAAGCCTAAATTTTAGATTTAGCGAGAATATCTAGTAGCCTATTAATATTACTTATACTATAGGCCTACATGCAAAATACATATAATAATGTCAGAGTACTCATAGATCTAGACTCTAGAATGCCCTAGGGCTGTTAGTGTCATTAGATTAGACCTACAAATTGTAATTTACAATAACATGCAGCTAACACTCATCACCACTACAACTAGGCCACTCACTAAGTACTTATTACTTAGGCCAAATAGTTAATAATACTTTGAGTTAATCAACTTAATCAGCTAAGGGTTATCTATCACATTTCATTATCACAGATGTGAGACCAGTCGAGTGCGAAAATTGTGTAGAATCCTCACACTCACAGTAGACTGAATAGTCTAAAAATGAAGATGAAGGGGTTATAGATCTATAAACTATAATAAAGCATATTTCAAGGTTTACAAATAAAATAAAAATCGTCAAATTTAAAAACACCTGAGCTTTTAACTAGATTTAGATCTAGATACAAATGAAAGTTTGATGAGCATTTTTCTATCTAGGAATTCTAGATCATTATTACAGATAATCCGGATGTTTTTCTTAGTGCATTCTGGATCTTCCGGGACAGCTTATATTTTATTCGCGTTTTTCACTTGTTTCATAGCCTTGACATTGAAGAAAGCATTGGAGAGAAAATTGCTTTCATTGGAAGAATTTGCATATTTGATGTCAATGTTAGCATAAAGTAATAATAATAGAGTTGTTACGATATTTATCCAAACATTCTTTTAAAAATAACATTAAAGAAAACCAAAGGCAGTGTGTAATAATTTCGCAGTTTCTTCCAGGCATCTTTTTTCGGGCTCTCCCTCTCTCCCCCCCCCCCCACCCGGATAAGTCTACCGCCCCCGAACGAAATGGAATTTATATAGAAAATAATAGAGCTAATATGGTTTATAGTTAAAATATTTTTTCATCTAACCAAAATTGCAATAAATAAATAAATCTTATATATACAGACAGGCTTACCAGTGGCGTAGCGAGGTCGGGTGTCACCCGGTGCAACACTTAATGGTGTCACCCCCCAGAGGCGTAGCGACCCTTCTCGGGGACAAACTTTCAAATTTTCGATTTGCACCCCCCCCTCAAACTTTCAATTTGCACCCCCCCCCCCGCCCCCGCCTCACGTTTTTCTCTATATATTTTGCTTTTTTTTTTGGCCTTGGTGTCACCCCCCTAAATGGTGTCACCCGGTGCGATCCGCACCCCCGCCCCCCCGCCTCGCTACGCCTCTGAGGCCTACTACATACACGGGTACATACACAGGGGCTGTAGTCTGTACAGACTATCAATGGGTACGAACCCTGTGTCTCTGTCTTGATTGTCAGCATTGCTCGAACCCTGTCTCATGACCGACAGGCCACTAGGTCGATCGAGCTCAGTGTTTCTTCCAGACTTTTTTCTCCGGGGGGGCACTTGAAATTTTTTGGGGGGGGGCGGTAAACTTTCTTCGGGGGGGGGGGGGCGGACACTATATAAATTATATAAATTTCAGTTCGTTCGGGGGGCGGTAAAATTTTTTCGGGGGGGCTTCGCCCCCCCCCCCCCCCCCCCGAAGAGATGCCTGGAAGAAACTCTGATCGAGCTCAGTTAATATTTTTAGAAAGAAAACGACGTTTAAAAAAATAATTTAACTTCAATGTTGAGGGAGGGGGGAGTATAAACAGAGGTGTGCCGTCATTTTAGAGAGGGAGGTCTGGCTTTTTGTGACGTTGCGTGATAGTGGGGAGGAGGAGGAAGGTAAAATTGTCAAAAAGCGTGACGTCATGTGGACCTCATAATATTGTTTAGGGCAGTACAGGCTAAATAGATCATTGCCTATATTAAAATCTATTCGTGTTATCCGTGCTTATGATACATCTATGAGAAAGGTTTACTGAATATTTTGAACTTTTTCGTGTGTACTTTTTTGCCATTTGTAATACCTTTTTGAGCGTGATAAACTTAAATGCTAGAATTACTGGAGTAATTTAGCTCGCTAGTGCCTTCTGTAAAACTTTGATTGTAAAAAAAAGATAATTTATTCTTTATATTTAATTCAAGGTCGATGATACAAAAAATATGTGTGACCATGACGTCATACAACAAAATATGTGGACCCATAGCGCATGACGTCATACAACAACATAATTAAGTTGAGTTTATTGTACAGAGCATGTCCACCTTAGGTGTAGACCTATCATTGAGCTGTCCCAGCCACCAACAACATCAGTGGGCCGACGACGGGACACCACCTTAGGTGTAGACCGTATCATTGAGCGGCACCAGCCACCAACAACATCAGTGGGCCGACGACGGGAGCACCATCGCGTCCAGACAATGGCCACGCTTGACGTGTGGTCAACACCACCTGTGGCCACACCACGTGACACCATCAAGCTGGAACGACAGGTCAGTACAACAAATAGATTCCTATTGTCCTGCAGTCGGTCAAGCGTAACAAGCGCTGCCGTCCCCAAAGACAACCACGTGACACCCACCTTGTCATCCTCATTTGCATGTTACGTCATCGCAATTCTTTTCTCACAACTCAAACACAGGACGACAACCATGGCGACACTCCAAACATCCCCTACTTATATAAGTCGGAAAGACTAAATTTACATTTAGAAATGTTGTAATTCTCCAGATCCTACCAGCACCAAGTCTCGGCACAATCTTGTCTCTGTCTCGACACACCTTTTAATTCAACCATACCCCAGTCAACTCTATCAATTTATAGGCTACAGGTCAGCATTTTATTTTAAAAGTTAATTTTATTTAAAGATAATATCAAGTTTTAAATTTACGTGTAGGCTAAATTTTTTTATTAAAATTATTTACATGTCTGCAAATGACAAACTAAAAATTTACTGTATATTATATACAGAACAACTATATTCGACCTAACTAATATCGCCTTCAGAAGCTGTGCTAGTCGCATCGACTTCTCGATATCAGCCTTGCAGTTTTAAATGAAAACTGCAGTTCATGTTGAAAATACAGTGTTGTGTTTCATACATCTCTTTAAGTTACTTCTTATAAAAACACTGTGAGAAAGCGATTTATTAAAAAGTGTCTTTGTGTATCATTTGAACAAATGCAAGCTCCATTTACAGATGTTCCAATCCATAAATGTAACCATTAGTTCACCTACCAGTCAACTAGTCCCCATTAATTCAGTCTCACCAGTTCAAGTCCCCATATTGTATAAACTGTTCATGCTTCATCTAGTCACTAAACCATCAGCCAACAAAATGTTGTAAGCGATCAACGATTCCAGACCATCAACCCCACCCCACTAAAACAACCACCTTTTGATTCCAGACCATCAGCCCCACCCCACTAAAACAACCAACTTTTGATTCCAGACCATCAACCCCACCCCACTAAAACAACTTTTGATTCCAGACCATTAGCCCCACCCCAACACGGTGCCCACACCACAATGAAGCGCAACATCAGCCACTACATCCACATGACCACCCTGAACGAAGCTGGAGAAGTGACCTATGACCTCTGTATAGACTTGCCAGGCAAATGTCAGTTGTTGGGGCCATTACGTTTTCTAAAGAGGTAAGTTGTCCCAGCTAATTAGTCGTTTGGGGGCCATTACGTTTTCTCAAGAGGTAAGTTGTCTAGGCAAAAGTCAGTTGTTGGGGCCATTACGTTTCCTAAAGAGGTAAGTTGTCCAGGCAAAAGTCAGTTGTTGGGGCCATTACGTTTTCTCAAGAGGTAAGTTGTCTAGGCAAAAGTCAGTTGTTGGGACCATTACGTTTTCTAAAGAGGTAAGTTGTCTAGGCAAAAGTCAGTTGTTGGGGCCATTACGTTTTCTAAAGAGGTAAGTTGTCTAGGCAAATCAGTTGTTGGGACCATTACGTTTTCTCAAGAGGTAAGTTGTCTAGGCAATGACTACTGGGTTCAGCAAGTGCTCATGTTGCACACCACGATGTTCAGGTTCAATAACATTTTCATGAAACCTTCTTCCATAATATCTTAAAGAAACATCGACTCCCCTACCCAGTCATGTCGGAGTTGGGTGCTACAAAAACTGGTTTTGAAATACTTTTTTTACAGATCATTTTTAGAAAGAATGATATTGTTACATCTTTAGCTGAAGGCCATATAACACAAACTTATATCCTGTTGAAGAAAAGCAAACTATAAATCTATTAAGTCTTATTAAGAACTTTTGTTAATATAAGATTGAAGGACATTAAACACAACGTTCTATCATTTTCCGACCCCATTTTTTACTTCATGCTGTACAGTAAACAAAATAAACCACATTACAAGATCCATATTTGTAGCCAGAATTGTTCTAGTGTTAATAACTTGATTTTTAATTTACATTTAAATTGTCTAAAACTAAACAATCTAAAATTTATACAAATTTCAATTCAAATTTCCAGAAAAATCTCCGTCCAGTCTAACCAAGGACGACTTGAGGAATCCCAAAACATAAAACCATCAAAACAACTGTTTAGCCTGTATTCACACGATCCGATCATTCAGTATTACGGACTTGTCATGGCGACCATGTACGGAAATCTCCGCTTGATGAAGAAGTACCTTGACGCTGGCGTACGGCCGTACGGCCCGGAGAGGCTGCGGTGTGGGGCGCCACTGTTGATATCGCTCACAACATGCCCGGAGGCCGTACGTCTGCTAGTCGAATATGGCGCTTTGTGGGACAGGTGAGCTCCCATTTTAATTGATTAGTAACTAGGCGAGCTGGCTTTACAGCCATAGACGGTGAAGTAGAGTTGATCTGTTTGTTTGCTTTCTGAACTGTGTAGTCAGTTATTTCACTGTCTGTCTTTACTTAAACTGACCGACTGAGACATCCAACATAGCTCTACAACATTACTACACTTCCTTGTCTGCTTTCTGGTTATTTTAAAACAATTTGTTGATCTACATACTGTTTATATATAGGCCTACATTAAGGAGAAAGTTAGAGGTTATATTTTTTAAAGAATAAATAGCTTTAAAAAAAACTATAAATAGCTTTACCTGAAAACAACTTGTCCTCAGATACCACGAACATTTCGCATCACCATTGCTCCACCTGGCCCAGCCGAATGTTCTCGAAGTTCTCGTGGACGTGGCTGAGGATAAGATCAACGACCTGCAGGCGTACCAAGACATCAAGCGGCGAGCATTCAGCCAGGACACGCCCCCCAGCTCTGACCCTAGGGGTCGAGCCGTGGACACACCCCCCAGCCCTGACCCTGGGTCACAGAAACTGCAGCACATCAGAGAACTGCTGTCACGCCCCAGATCGTTGTTCACGTTATCTCGCCGTGCGGTGTGCAGGAGCCTGGGACCCATGCCAGAAAGGAGGTCAAAAGTCCGGCTGCTGCCTGTGCCGGATGTTGTCAAACACAACCTGTGTGTGGAGGACCTGGACTTAAAGTTTGCCCGCCCCAACCCCCGTGTGTCTGTTCAAATGGTTGAAAGCTCCATGGTTATAACGGAAACTAGAATCATAGGCTCGGAGACAGAGGTTTAATTAGAATAAAGGTTTTAAACTAAACAGTATTGTGGTATTTTTTTGGTCATGTGTGTGATTGTAATATTTAATGGGTCATTTTAAAATATTTGAGTCAAAAGACATAATTGCAACCCGATTTACAAAAATAATTAGCCGACTATTAAATGCAGTAAACATAAGTTTGCTTAGATAAGAAAATGAAAAAAAAAATATTGGAAAAAATTGATTGAGAAATCCTGGTAGAGTTTTCACTGCCTCAAATAATATTGGTTAGCTGTTTTGATAGTTTTTTTTCAAAAGATCTTACACTGAAATAGCAAGCCTATTGAATTGATATCTTATATGTCCATAAACAGACGAATGAAGTTATTGAGTACAAGAAAATTTACAGTACAACATACAAAACATGAATATTTTCTTAAATTATTCACATTTCTCATCAAGTGAAACAGACAATTATGATGTTGTGATGTTGTCAAAATAAATAAGCAAATAAATAAAATAGCAATCTTGAACATTTTCCTTTTCGTATTTAATTAGCTTAATGTTTTGAATGGGGGTAAGGTTTATTACTTTAATTAAGAAGAGCGAAAGGGTTTGTAAAAAAATTAAATTATGACAAACCACAAAAAAATAAATCAATCAGATACTTATTACTTTGCCAGAATGCGTTCTCTATAAACTAAAATTAAAAAAAAAAAACACATCGTTTCTCCGGGGAGGGGGGGGGGGGGGGCATTTGAAACTTTCGGTGGGGGGGGGGGGAAACTCAAAAGTATATATTTACTATATAAATTCAATTTCGTTCGGAGGGGTGGGCGGTAGACTCTCCTCGGGAGTAGAAACAATGGTTGGTTCTCCATTTGGAGAATTAGCCACAAACCCACAAACAAAATTATGAACTGAATAAAAGCTTATAATATAGCGTGACTTTATAATTGTTTTCTTAAATGATTATTTTCAACTAAAATGAAAGCTACTCTACAAAAATTGTAGACAGTCTACATATAAGCGGTCAGAACTGGCCAACAGATCACTTCCGAGAACGGCCAAGTAATCCAAAACAACATCCGGTCGACGGTTTCTTTTTGGTCATCCCCGCCTCTTCCTGTCGCACGACCTTGCAGAACTGGGAGATGAAGGTCATCCATATCTTGATATCTTCGTCGTCTGCCGCCACCTTCAGCGCTCGTGTCAGATACAGGTGGAAATTTTTCTCGAAACACTGGCGGAGGGGGGGGGGGGAAAGAGAGGTCATTACCATATGATAGCACTGACATTTGCGACATACATAACCACTCGCTTATTTCAGCTGCTCGTCAAGTGGTGTAGGCAAGATTTTCTGATGTTTTTGCATGTGCAAGTGTAGGTGTGCGTGTGCATATATATGTGTATATGTGTGCGTGCATGCGTATGAATGTTTCCGTGCGTGTCTGTCAGCATGCATGTAGTTAAAAATTGATAAGAACGAATGACTTGGGTGTTATGACAGAAAATATGTCAACATCTGTGCCTTAACGTGAGACATTTGTAATTTTGAAGGTCTACGGATTGGGGGTGAGGGGAATTCTAAACGCTACTCTCGTGCCTACGTCACAGTACCCGTCTACCAGCCATTAAAGCTTTGTCTACTTAAATTTTCCGGTGCCACCAATTACTTGATGTCCATGAAAATTACTCCCAGATTTATCTTATGTAATTGTTAGTGCCTGCACCAACCAGAGAACAAACACTCAGACAACCCCTGTTAACTCACATAAAAAAACAACCAGAGAACAAACACTCAGACAACCCCTGTTAACTCACATAAAAACCCAGAGAACAAACACTCAGACAACCCCTGTTAACTCACATAAAAAAACCAGAGAACAAACACTCAGACAACCCCTGTTAACTCACATAAAAAAACCAGAGAACAAACACTCAGACAACCCCTGTTAACTCACATAAAAAAACCAGAGAACAAACCCTCAGACAACCCCTGTTAACTCACATAAAAAAACCAGAGAACAAACACTCAGACAACCCCTCTTAACTCACATAAAAAAACCAGAGAACAAACACTCAGACAACCCCTGTTAACTCACATAAAAAAACCAGAGAACAAACACTCAGACAACCCCTGTTAACTCACATAAAAAAACCAGAGAACAAACCCTCAGACAACCCCTGTTAACTCACATAAAAAAACCAGAGAACAAACACTCAGACAACCCCTGTTAACTCACATAAAAAAACCAGAGAACAAACACTCAGACAACCCCTGTTAACTCACATAAAAAAACCAGAGAACAAACCCTCAGACAACCCCTGTTAACTCACATAAAAAAACCAGAGAACAAACACTCAGACAACCCCTGTTAACTCACATAAAAAAACCAGAGAACAAACACTCAGACAACCCCTGTTAACTCACATAAAAAAACCAGAGAACAAACACTCAGACAACCCCTGTTAACTCACATAAAAAAACCAGAGAACAAACACTCAGACAACCCCTGTTAACTCACATAAAAACAACCAGAGAACAAACACAGAAAACCCCTGTTAACTCACATAAAAACAACCAGAGAACACACACTCAGACAACCCCTGTTGACTCACATCAAAAAAATTGCTGCCGATGGACGGCTTCATGTTGAGGTGTGAGACAGCGATGGAGTGGAACCTTTTGTCCAACTCTGCTGGCTTGTTGATGGTGCTGATGAAGGACTCGAAGCTCATGATGATGACGGTGGTGTGGGCGAGGAACTTGTCGTCGTTGATCAGGTTGCTCTCGGTGGCCGACGGGTTGAACTTGTAGCTGAACCGTTCCCGCATCCCCTGGACGTTGTCGAACATCCTGTGGACAGATTCAGAGCAGTTGGTCAACATTACAGTCAGCACATGTAGACAGTTGGACAACAGGCCAACATCACGGTCAGGACTGTTAGACAACAGGACAACATCACGGTCAGGACAGTTGGACAACAGGCCAACATCACGGTCAGGACTGTTAGACAACAGGACAACATCAGTCTGGACAACAGGACAACATCACGGTCAGGACAACAGGACAACATCAGAGTCTGGACAACAGGACAACATCACGGTCAGGACAACAGGACAACATCAGAGTCTGGACAACAGGACAACATCACGGTCAGGACAACAGGACAACATCAGAGTCTGGACAACAGGACAACATCACGGTCAGGACAACTGGACAACTTTACAGTCAACACATGTAGACAGTTGGAGAACAGAACAACATCACGGTCAGGATATTTGTCAACAAAATCCGTAAGACTGTCCGCTGAAATCACCCGTGTACACACCATAACTTAGGGCTGTGAGCTGAAATCAAGCGCGAACTCAACAACCACCTGTGTACTCACCAACCACCTGTGTACTCACCAATCACTGTGTACTTACCAAACACCTGTGTACTCACCAACCTCCTGTACTCACCAACCACCCATGTACTCACCATAACACTAACGATATCCCAGCTTGTTTAAACGCTTGAGGAGTTTCTCCGATTATTTTTTTCCACGAGCGCACCATTTTCATCTTTTCTCTGCATCAAAACATCGAAGTCAGAATAACATGTGGTGGTTTGAGACAAAACTTACATAGGACCTAACAAACCCATATCCAGAGTTTCTTCCAGGCATCTCCAGGCAAAGCCCCCCCCCCGCAATTTTTTTTTACCGCCCCCCCCCCCCGAACGAAATGAAATTTATATAATTTATATAGAAAATATATACTTTTAACAGTGTTCGCCCCCCCCCCCCGAAGAAAGTCTACCGCCCCCCCCCCCCCCGAAAATTTCAAGTGCCCCCCCCCCCCTCCGGAGAAAAAAGTCTGGAAGAAACACTGCCCATATCTATACGTATACAATCATGTCATAGAGCCCGCACAACCCACACGTATAAAACCCGCACGCTACCCAAACGAAAGTTGTACTGAGACCCCCCCCCCCCCCCCCACCTTTCAGTCAGACCGGAAACCGCACACTTGTCCACGTCATCGTATTGGCTGAACGTCTCTTCTTTGGGTGGCTCCTCCACGACTGGCTCCTGCTCAGCGGGGTCAAGGTCCAACAGGGGGGCGGTATCCTTTGTCTGTTAGAGAAACGTGAGTCACATCATAGGGGGCAGCACTAGTACACATCATAGGGGGCAGCACTGGTACACATCATAGGGGGCAGCACTAGTACACACATAATAGGGGGCAGCATTAGTACACACAACATAGGGGCAGCACTAGTACACAACATAGGGGGCAGCATCAGTACACACATCATAGGGGGCAGCATTAGTACACATCATAGGGGGCAGCACTAGTACACAACATAGGGGGCAGCATCAGTACACACAACATAGGGGGCAGCACTAGTACACACATCATAGGGGGCAGCACTAGTACACAACATAGGGGGCAGAATTAGTACACATCATAGGGGGCAGCATTAGTACACATCATAGGGGGCAGAATTAGTACACATCATAGGGGGCAGCAGTAGTACACACATCATAGGGGGCAGCACTAGTACACATCATAGGGGGCAGCACTAGTGCACACATCATAGGGGGCAGCACTAGTACACATCATAGGGGGCAGAATTAGTACACACAACATAGTGGGGCAGCACTAGTACACATCATAGGGGGCAGCACTAGTACACATCATAGGGGGCAGCACTAGTGCACACATCATACGGGGCAGCACTAGTACACATCATAGGGGGCAGAATTATTACACACAACATAGGGGGCAGCACTAGTACACACATCATACGGGGCAGCACTAGTGCACATCATAGGGGCAACACTAGTATACACCATAGGGGACAGCACTGGTACACACATCATAGGGTGCAGCAGTAGTACACATCATAAGGTGCAGCACTAGTACACATAATAGGGGCAGAGGCGTAGCGACCCTTCCCGGCGCCCGGGGACATACTTTCAATTTGGCGCCCCCTTCGGGAGCAAATTTACGATTTGCACCCCCCCTCGAACTTTTCATTTGCACCCCCCCCCTCAAACTTTCGATTTGCACCCCCCCCCTCGAACTTTTCATTTGCACCCCCCTCAAACTTTCAATTTGGCGCCCCCCCTAAGGTCGGCGCCCGGGGACATATGTCCCCCCCGCCCCTCCCCCCCTCGCTACGCCTCTGAATAGGGGGCAGCACTAGTACACATCATAGTGGCAGCACTAGTGCACATCATAGGGGGCAGCATCAGTACACACAACATAGGGGGCAGCACTAGTACACATCATAGGGGGCAGCATTAGTACACACATCATAGGGGGCAGCGTTAGTACACACAACATAGGGGGCAGCATTAGTACACACATCATAGGGGCAGCATTAGTACACACAACATAGGGGGCAGCACTAGTACACACATCATAGGGGGCAGAATTAGTACACATCATAGGGGCAGCAGTAGTACACACATCATAGGGGCAGCAGTAAGTACAAACATCATAGGGGGCAGCACTAGTCTACATCATAGGGGGGGCAGCAGTAGTACACATCATAGGGGGCAGCACTAGTGCACACATAGGGGGCAGCACTAGTGCACACATAGGGGGCAGAATTAGTACACATCATAGGGGGCAGCATTAGTACACATCCTAGGGGAAGCATTAGTACACATCATAGGGGGCAGCATTAGTACACATCATAGGGGGCAGCATTAATACACACAACATAGGGGGCAGCACTAGTACACATCATAGGGGGCAGCATTAATACACACAACATAGGGGGCAGCACTAGTACACATCATAGGGGGCAGCATTAATACACACATCATAGGGGGGGGCAGCACTAGTACACATCATAGGGGGCAGCATTAGTACACATCATAGGGGGAGCATTAGTACACATCATAGGGGGCAGCATTAGTACACATCATAGGGGGAGCATTAGTACACATCATAGGGGGCAGCATTAGTACACATCATAGGGGGCAGCATTAATACACACAACATAGGGGGCAGCACTAGTACACATCATAGGGGGCAGCACTAGTGCACATCATAGGGGGCAGTACTAGTACACATCATAGGGGGCAGCAGTAGTACACACATAAAAAGGGACAACACCAAGCTAGACTACAACGTCTTTTGGTTAGGGTTTCGTCGCGGCTTCTTTGTCTATTATCATTTTAATTAGGGTCAGGTTTAGAGTTGTTTACAAACTTCAGCATAGCCGACTCACCTCTCCTTCTTCATCGTCTTGTTCGGCCATAGGTCATGAATGAATGTGTACCACAGATAGGCTTTGTTCCAGGTGTATATCCACAAGTCAACAATACCTACACCACTACCTGCAACATGGTACAAGTTTGGATATTTGACCTTGAACGGCCATTGACCTAATCCCAACTGAATGAAAATGTTGGACCCTAAAAATCGATGGACTAAATCAAAGTAAATGTAATGTAATGTGACTTGTCTTTTGTCAGTGTTGTTTTGTCAATGATATTTTATTTATGTCAGTCATATTCTATCTGTCATATTTTGTTTGATATATTTTGTCAGTAATATTTTGTCTGAAATGTAGTGACAGTGATTTTTGTCTATTAAAAAATGAAAAAAAATTAGAGTGGGATACAGGTGTTATTAATTATTAATTGTAAAATAATATTCTATTTAATAATGTATATATATATATATATATATATATATATATATATATATATATATATATATAATATTTACTAGCCTATATCTAGATTTTAGTATGTTATTTAGTTCTAGAATTTTTATCAATAGATCAAACATTTATATCAAAGACTTTGAGCAAATTATATAAATATTAACATCTTACACAATACAATTCGTTAAACAAATATCATTGTTATTTCTTTCCTTACAACTTATACAGAATACATTGTATAACGCTAATAAATAATAACAAATAAATAAAAATGTGACAAGTGTATAATTGATATTTTTGTTCTATCTAAAGAACTTATCGTAAACAAAAACCCAGAACAACTTATTTCCGGTGCTGAACAGTGCTACCAATCTAAAAATAACTCATGCAGATGCGCAACTCTTTCACTATAATTTCATGTTTGAAATTGGTACTTGTTCATCTGTTAAGTGATGGTTGGTGAAATATCCAACTCTCAACATAGATGAAATGTGAGGGATGTAATCGGATTGATGTAATCTAAGCTACAGATGAACGTACACGTCTTCTTCTTCTTCGTTCTTAATTGTAATGTTGAACGTGATTTCCTCCAACACAATTAAGTAATACGTGTCAACTTGTTTGTGACATTTAGGCCGTTGAATCCTACTCAGCCTGCTTTTATTTCTGGATTTGCTTCCACAGCCAATATCCAACCAAGAACAAACTACAAGGCAGCAGTTATTTGATTTTGGAGTTGTCTCTCCTAGAAGAGTGGCTGTCCCCAGCTAACAAGCCTCATCTGCCCGAGGGTTCGAACTCAAGACTTTACCGACTCGACCACATCGACATCTTTAGAACAATTTTTTAAACAATTACACTGCAAAGGGAAATTACCCAGTATTGCCTTTAAGTTAGTCTTGAAATTTGCTGAAATCCAAGGGAATGTACTCCTGGGATTTTTAAAAATGGTTAATTTTAGTAGAGTAGTCTACATTGCATTGCGCTTTGCACAAATGTATGTCATTGTATGTGTCTGTAGGTCAAGATAGAGATCAGATTTGTTTGATCGAGTGAAGTTTAATGTGTATCGATCTATCTGTTTGTTTGGGGGGGGGGGGGGGGGGGGGGAGTGGGACACTGGTTAAAGGTCTATATGTTCTATGTCATGTTATATATTTTTATTTAATTTCGGAGCGGTGTACGTGCTTCAGGGGCAGTGGCCCCATACTGACCCCCCCCCCCCCCCTAGAAGAGATGCCAGAAAGAATGCTGTGTAGAATGGCACTTTCTTGACACAGTGTAAAATAGATGAAACTTTCAGTACTGTGACACTAGGCATATTTTTATTTCACATATCTTGTTTGTACCCTAGTCTGGAGCATTCGTGTCACGTCATCCAACAGACGTGCTTGATGAGAGATATCTTACGACCTCTAGACTGTCACTGTTGTTATCTATGTCTTTATCGTTCAGAGACCAGGGGTGTGCGACGTGTATTCAAGGAATGAACGGGTGGATTATTTCATCAAGGTCAAGGTGATACAGATAAACATTTTTTAAAATGTCTAGATCTGCGGAGGCATGTGTTATGTGATATGTTGTATGTGATGTGTTGTATTGTATGTGATGTGTTGTATGTGATGTGTTGTATGTGATGTGTTGTATGTGATGTGTTGTATGTGATGTGTTGTATGTGATGTGTTGTATGTGATGTGTTGTATGTGTAGTGAACATGACTTGCTGCAACACGTACGTAATGAGATTTGACGTATGTCTTATGTCAAGCGATGCATGTGTTATGTAAACTGACAGGTGTCGTATGGGAAATCAGAGTGATGTGAATTGATCTAAGTGTTATGCAATATGACGTATATGTGTATATACTGATATCATTATAATTATGTGTTTTTATTCTACTCATGAATAAACACGAGATTATATGTAGGGTGATCTATATGTGAACTACGTATCTGAAAACTGAAGTCAAAGAAGTTGTATTTATTTGACTTTCAGCATCACTCGAGGTGATCGTCTGAACATTACAATTCCAAAAGTTATGACCTGGGACATGTTCACCCCACCCCTCCCACACCCACACATACCCCATGTACACAGAGCTCCAGGCCACGACAGAGCTGGTGATAGGGAGTCTGTGTATGGTGACACGTCCACCCGACCTCACCTCTGGGTACCTTCTGCCAAGCCACCCACCCCAACTTCCCACCCCACTATCCCACCCCAGACCCACTCATGATTTGTAATTCATAATTTTTATTTTTTTGCGAATATTTCCCATCAACCAAAGTAGACAACAAATATTAAACGATATGTTTATTTCTACACAAATTATGCGATACAAACAGTCGGTACAAGATTGAATTAGTAAATTGATAATACATTGTTTTTTCTGAAAACACAGACATAATGTAGTTAACTTGATAACACAAACATAATGCGGTAGGCATTTAATCACAGTCAATAAGTGCCAATCCATTCGTGACATTTTGTGTCAACTTTACCACACACAGTCACCTAACCACACCAACATAAAAACTACAAATACATTGAACTGATAGCTGCACTGATTGAAAAAAAAGGGACCATCACATTTTAGTGCTACATCTAATGACGAAATCTACTTCCCCTGTAACAAACAAACGTGGTTTCTGAAAACATATTGTACATAGATATTCTAAAATACATTGCAATATTCACACAGAGGTACATTGATACTGTTTCACGTTCAGTCCTATATCATCAATCGTGGTTGGTATACAATGACATGGGCGTGTTTTAAATCAAGGGCGGACCCTTGTTAATGTTAGCCCCACCCAAAGATCAACAACTTTTCATTCCACATCCAAGCCACGGAGCTAGGCCACGTAGCTAAGCTACGGGGCTAAGCTACGGAGCTAAGCTACGGGGCTAAGCCACGGAGCTAAACTACAGAGCTAAGCCACGCAGCTAGGCCACGGAGCTAGACCACGGAGCTAAGCTACGGGGCTAAGCCACGCAGCTGGGACACGCAATGTTTACAATAAAATCCACAGCAGAGTTTAAGAAAAAAATAATTAAAAAAGCGTTGTTTAAGTTCTTCGATGTTTTTCATTTATAGCTACATAAAAAATGCTTTGTGGGTCATGTTTACTTAACGATAATAAAAATTTTGATAAATGATAGATGGATTGCTACCTTGGATACATTTGTAAAAGTAATGATTAAAACATTGTTGTGCTAATCAAACTTTGACAACTATCTGTAATGGACATGACGAATTATTAGATATTTACTCAATAAATGTTTGACATCATCACAAGCTGGTATCACGTTGTAAGTGGGCAAATAAATATTGTGGGTATAGTTTTTTTTAAACTCTCCAAACTAGCCGAATTCACACGCTGGAAACTAAGGTGTATCTAAGGACGCTTTACATTGGGTTAGAGATTATACACATGCACAGTGTATTTAATTTCCTAAAGAACATTGACCGATCATGGTCATGTTACCTTTATGTTGAATCAACCACTAAATCACACACGGCTCACGTGCCTATGGGATAACACAAAAAATTAATACATTTTTTATTTATGTGTAAAAAAAGAAATATCTGGCCGTATATGAAAATCACAATAATCAGTCAGGAGACCTAAAACACAACTAGCCATGAAAGTCAGGGGACCTAACACAACTAGTCTTAAAGGTACTGTGATCTATCACAAAATAGCTAGCATAGTCAAAGAAAAAACAAACAATTTATACCACATTTATCTGACCATTTACATTCAAAATGTGATAAAAGATTGCCATCTCTCAAAGACACATTTGTTACATGTTTAGAGAACAACTCGCCACATATGAAAAGACCCACTTATGATAAGACACACTTGCCATTTATTAAAAGACACACTTAGGCCTATATTTTCAAAGACACTTTCCACATATTTTAACACAATTTCCATATATTTAAAGACACATTTTTCACTTATTTTAAGACACACTTTTCACATATTTTAAGACACACTTTCCATATATTTAAAGACACATTTTTCACATATTTTAAGATACACTTCTCACATATTTTAAGACACTTTCCATATATTTAAAGACACACTTTTCACATATTTTAATACACACTTTTCACATATTTTAAGACACACTTTCCACATATTTAAAGACACACTTGTGCCAAACACCACTTTAAACTTTTCTTTACACAAAATCAAATTGACCCTAAGAAAATAAAAACTCATATATTAATTAATTCAGCAAAAACGTGATTTATCAAAAAAAGTTTTCAATAATAATTGATGTAGTGTGTATGTACAGCTGCATGTCACTGATGCAAGGTATCGAACAGTTAGTTCTTTCCCTTGACTGAAACACTCAGTTCTTTCCCTTGACTGAAACACTCAGTTCTTTCCCTTGACTGAAACACTCAGTTCTTTCCCTTGACTGAAACACTCAGTTCTTTCCCCTTGACTTAAACACTCAGTTCTTTCCCTTGACTGAAACACTCAGTTCTTTCCCTTGACTAAAACACTCAGTTCTTTCCCTTGACTTAAACACTCAGTTCTTTCCCTTGACTTAAACACTCAGTTCTTTTCCTTGACTGAAACACTCATTTCTTTCCCTTGACCTCGTCCTCCGTCATCTTGTAGACAGCGTTGTGTGCGGTCAGCAGTTTGGTCCAAGCTGTCTCGATCTCGGGCGTGCATCTCTCACCCAGGTACGTGGTCAAGAACTTCAAGAACACAATCTTCAGTTTCTGGAGAGTAGAAGACGGTTGGCAACTTTTATATAGGAAGTAGCAGGGATATATATAGGTATACAACTTTTATATGGGTAGTAGCAATGATATATAAATATACAATTTTTGTAAAGGTAGTAGCAAGGTTATATAATAACACCTAGTGGCACCTAATGCACAAAGAAGGGTTGGCTGTGGGGATGGGAGGGGGTAGATCTGTTTGATTTTTTTAAAAATTATTTTCTTCCAAAATAATCCAGTAGTCCCCCCCCCCTCCCCAGTGTGATTGGTAGTGTTGACGTCCATGTGAACCAGCTTTAATGGTGGAACTATCTAGTACCTTATACACAACCCAGTAACATTTTGTTCCCTTGCTGAGTGAGTAGCCTCCCTTGTATACAAAATAGAAGCCACAGCAACGTTTTTAAAAAAAAATCAAAACAACAACCAGATAGCAACCTGATATGTCATGGTTATTTAATGACAACTTTACAGCTATAAAAACAGGACACTGAAAAATGGGTGTCTAAAAAAACACTTGACTGTTTGTAAAAGGTAGACTGAAAAAATGGTAGGCTGAAATAATGGTAGGCTGAAAAATTGGTACACTGAAATAATGGTAGGCTGAAAAATTGGTAGGCTGAAACATTGGTAGGCTGAAAAATTGGCAGGCTGAAAAAGTGGTAGGCTGAAAAATTGGTAGGCTGAAAAAATCATTTAAATGGTAGGCTGAAAAAGATGGTGTGACTAAAAAAAATGTGTAGACTGAAGTAGACGGGACAAGACTAGTACCTCAAAGTCATCGACCTTGATGCCCCGGCCGATGTGGGAGACGGCGATTTTCTGGACGAGTCCAACCAAGTTCTCGGAGTCCTCGACGTTCTCGACGTATGACGTAATGGCGTACATGACGCTCGTGGCGTGGGCCTTCAGTTTTGGACTCGACCGGAGCTCGGAGATGGACTTGCCCTTGAAGAGGTCAAAGTAGTTCTGCATGTAAGGGTAGGCGGTAAACAATCTGTGGAACAATAGTTATAAACAATCTGTGAGAATTGTGAGAAAAACCAGCTTTTACATCCATATACGGTTTGAATCAGTGGCATGGTGGGGGGGGGGGGAAGAAAAAAAAAACAACCCTTTAACTCCCCCACCCCCACCCGCACTCTCTCCCGTGGGCTCACAGTTGTTCACATGTCTTTGATAGTAGATATTAATCTCTCTGTCAAGGGTCGGTTCGTTGAGGCCCAAGTAATGTGGCATTGGTCTGAGATTAGGGTGGCGCCAGGGTTAATCCGGCTTTCTATAAGGCAGAAAAGGGGCAGAGAGACATAGATTTCTATGACAAAGCGCCCCCCCCCCCCCTTGAAATTAAACTATAGTTCAAGGTAATATGTAATGTAGGTGTTTATCTTCGAGATAATGAACATTTACATTTGTATAACAATATGACGTGTTCTTTCAAAGAGCACCACCCTCCTCCAAACACACACTCACACACACACACACACACACACACCACAGCGCTGTCTGGCTATAGGTTGACCTTTGGGGATTTCTGGCTTAGCGGGGAGGGAGGGTGGGGTAACTGATATCATTTTGTACCAGTTCATTAATGATTTTGTTTATGTCAAAAGTAAAAGCCGCATAAGCGTAGACTTTAAACGTGTGTGAAGGTGTTGAACTGACACACAACTCACATGTATCAAAACACCATGTTGTGTGTCCGACACTTAACACACCAAGATAAATTTGCAAATTAGATCTAAATCTACTGCAGACATGCAGCCGAGGTCAAACTAACTCTAGCAGTGAGTGTTTATTTGATATGTAAACTTTTACACAGTGAAATTTGTTTTCGGCAAGTATTTCACGTCACTAAGAGTCTGTACAATTAAAACAACTAAAAGTAAATACAGTTTCAATGGCTCAAGATAATGCATCCACCTGGTTATAAGTTCATCAAACTTTTGAGTAAAAATTTAGATCAAACCTTTTCTCACAACCATAGGGGAGGTTGTGACTTACTGTATGAAGAAGTTCATCAAATTTTTGAGTACCTATTTAGATCAAACCTTTTCTCATTACCACCATGGGGTAGATGGTGACTTACTGTATGAAAAAGTTCATCAAATTTTTGAGTAACTATTTAGATCAAACCTTTTCTCATTACTACCATGGGGTAGATGGTGACTTACTGTATGAAAAAGTTCATCAAATTTTTGAGTAACTATTTTGATCAAACCTTTTCTCATTACCACCATGGGGTAGATGGTGACTTACTGTATGAAGAAGTTCATCAAACGTTTGAGTAAAAAATTAAATCAAACCTTTGCTCACCACCACAAGGGAGATGACCACTTACTGTATGAAGAACTCCAGCCCGTTCTCTTTGACCGTCTTGCGATCCCCGGCCAGGGCCCATGTTTCCATAATCAGCTGCTTCTCCCTCTGGGTCAGACCCGTGGTGGGGTCAGGCGTGGGGTCATATTTAATAGCGGGTCTGGATGGGGCGACCCAGCTGATCAAGTACGATAGCAGCCCGCCCATGGTCGTTGGTTGTGTGTGGTTGGATGCTGGGACTTCAGGGTAAGTTAGGTACTACTTGATGTCTGGAATTAGAGGAGTTAAAGAAGGTTAAGTTTCATGCTTTAGACTTAAGTACAGATAACTCACAGTTGTGACAATATAGACAGTTCCCGACGTGACAGTATCACAATAGTTCCTAAGAGTGACAACATTTCAGTTTACTCCATTCAGCAATACAAATTAAGCCAGTGTAGGCCCATTCGCCAGCTATACCACATTTCAACAGTAATAAAAAAAAATCAATAAGGTTTCTTAATGTAATAACAAAACGTCCAACAAACATTGATGCCTATCACATTACGGTGTGTATGTGTGCTCTGACCTTGAGGTCTGACCTTGTGCTCTCATTAAGTTTATAAAACAAACAAGCTTTAATACGCGTCAAAAATATCACATGACCTCGTTATTTTTTTTCCTTACGCTAGAATTTTTTTTTTTTACAAAGCCATGTCTAATGATGGCAGCTCAGGCTTACAGCTGGTACATTTGTTGGTCTATTGTACACAGGAACATGTTGTGTAATATACTAGTGTGCTGTACACACGAGGGTGCAGCACACATGAAAGTGTGTAGTAACATGTAGACGTGTTCTACATACTTAAATGTGTTAAAGAAATTATATATATATATATATATATATATATATATATATATATATATATATATATATATATATATATATATATATATATATATACATGTCTATAATATGTATATAGATATTTACGTATATGTATACTATTTATGTTTATACTTTGTATATATATATATATATATATATATATATATATATATATATATATATATATATATATATATATATATACTTCGGGGTGGACGGCTAGAACACTTAGGTTCTGTACAAATAGTGTAGACTTACACAAATGTACACCTTACATGTCAGAAGAACACACTACTAACGTAGCTAACATGAATTAGTCAACTTATATCCGTCATTTTTTAAAGTGTACAACCTTTTTAGAATCTTTTACGCTGCAACACCTCACACCTGTTGGTGATATTCTAGTAAGAGTTATTCCCCCTGAAATTCCCGTTAGACAGAGTCGCTTCCCCTGATATTTGTTTTGGTAAAATCTAATCTAGACGGCGAAGTAGCGAACGGTTTCAGATGTTCGTTATTCACTGCCGCTGGCTTATGTTTATTTCTATTGACTTTAAAATCTGAGATTTAATTCGTTCAACTTTAATGAGGTTGTTTGTTTAGCTCACCAGCTTAGTTTGTTTGCTCAACGTGTGGCAGTAGTACTAGTTGAAGCTGTTGATTTGTTCAGTCTAAACAAAGTTTACCAGCATAACTGCCGCAAGATTTCTACCATCAAACCAGGCGGTGATAAAAACTACTGATATTCTTTCAATGACATAATTTAAATAATTCATTTCAGTATTGATAAAGTCCAAATAGTGAACCGTACTAATATTTTCTTGTTAGAATGTACGCAACAACACATACTAATTACTAAAGCTTTGGTTTACATTGTTTCCACTACACATGTTAGCCCATCTACTACTACCACACATGTTTGCCCATCTAAGAGTTGACTAGCTGAGTGTAAGAAAGAGGAGTCATTCTAGTTGTAAGGTAATGTGAGAGTCACAACTGAAATAATGGGAGAGTCACAACTGAAATAATGGGAGAGTCACAAGAAAGGACGCGGGGGCCGATCACCCGTGGAATAGATTAGCTTAAGTGACCAGAGGCGTAGCTAGGGGGGGGGCGGGGCGGGGGGGGGGACACATATGTCTCCGGGCGCCGACCTAGGGGGGGGGGGGGCGCCAAATTGAAAGTTTGAGGGGGGTGCAAATGAAAAGTTCGAGGGGGGGGGGGGGTGTGCAAATCGAAAGTTTGTCCCCGGGCGCCGGGAAGGGTCGCTACGCCTCTGTAAGTGACAGTCGTCTCTTTAGTCAGCAGGCATTATCAACTCATGACATTTCTCACATATTTGGCTCAGTTCTCAAACACCTTTCTGTTCCCAAGATTCCGTCAAATCTCTCAAACACCTTTCTGTTCCCGACATTCCGTCAAATCTCTCAAACACCTTTCTGTTCCCGACATTCCGTCAAATCTCGCAAACACCTTTCTGTTCCCAACATTCCGTCAAATCTCTCAAACACCTTTCTGTTCCCGACATTCCGTCAAATCTCTCAAACACCTTTCTGTTCCCAACATTCCGTCAAATCTCTCAAACACCTTTCTGTTCCCGACCTGACCTGTCATTACGTCAACTGTCAATCAAAGTGCCACATTAAAAGGCCTGACCTTGACCTTTAGAGTTTCTACATCAGGTGTCATGTACCTGACATTAAAAATTATGACATTTCCCCAGCCTGTTGACAGTTGCTGGGTACAACCTTGACCCCGGAAACATTTTTATTTCAAATGTCGGATGGCGCAGTTTAAAACTAAATTGGCCCACTTTGTAATTTCAGTGAAACAAATCGGCGCAGACCTTGATAATGGCGCGCTTACTGGTGGCATTTGTTGACTGGATGAATTGCCTTTAAATAAAAGTTCATGTAATGACACGGGTCAAAGGTCACGTCTGCTGGCTGTGAACTGGGCACTGGGGGAGAGGGCGGGGCCCAGGACACTGTCAACAGTTACCCCCTGGGGCAGAAAAGTGTTCTCTATAGGGATCTGTTTCCGGGTGTTGCGTCATACGAAGAAGTCAAATTTGGCAACTTAGCAGTCATGTATATATTACATTTGTGTGTTCATTTCCGGGTCTTACATCATTGGGATAGCTCCAAGCAGGAAAACGGCATTCATATAAATTAGGGTCAAGTTGTGTCACTATTTATGGACACTAGACGCGGTAATAATGGTCTGTATATGGCGATTTTAAATTAAACAACATATTTGATTTGAAACATGCACACACACACACGCGCGAATAGTAGAAATGTGGGATGATTCATTTAGCGTAGTTGCTGAACACACATGCATCGTTGGTCAGGGGAGACTACTCCTAAATTATCTGAACGAAGTGTTTACAATTATGATTAAACCTTCTAGTTTATTACAGTCTTTGATTTAAATTGGATATTAACATGCAATTTAACGTAAAATATTTTCTCTATAAAATAATGCTAATTTTAATGCTACATGTAGTTTCAAAAATAGAAAAATAACAAGTCCGATTCAAACATGTACAGTCACAAACATGGCAAACAGCGGGTTTGAGTGCCGTGTGGACATGATATGAGGACCTGATACAACTTGTGTTTAACATTTTATGGCGCGTCTTTTTATAACAAAACTTTAGAAACGTATGTAAGGTAATCAATTAATGCCCCTTTCAATTACATTTTTTAATTAAAAACTAATCAACCTCAGACAAAACAAACACAAAGAATGAATACATACACTTTAATTTGTGAATTTCGGACATTAGATTGCAAATAAACGGCCAAAGACAGTAGTGAATTAAACATGCTAGACTAATACAGTATATTTAAACATTCACACACACAAAAAAACAACCTCTAGAACTTACATATCTCGCATTATTCACATCGCACACAGAACTTACATATCTCGCGTCTAAATACGAAACATCCGGTACACTGCCATGCCGGAAGTTGGTATTGACCGGTTAGTTTTTCTCCGCGCTCTGTCACATCCAGTCCAGGTTTTTCTGTAGCAAGTCTAGACACTATCGACTTGATTGAACAACATCCGGTGGCGGGAACCCCCCCCCCCCCCCCCCCCAGCCTCACCCCACCCATCAGCCCTTTCATGTATTAATTAGAATTCACTGGTCAGTCAATCAAATAAGAACAGGGGAAGCAATCGATGCTACTACCGGAAGGATCAGGATTCTGGGGAGGAAAAAACCCAACAAGATTATAGAAAGCCGATTGACCAAAGCAGAACTAGCGTCTTCGAGACGGGGTTCTGTGAGGGGCTTAAGGATTTAAAAACTAAATATAGAACGTTGGGCGTAATGCGAATAGATGATCGGACTATGACGCGATGGCCCTAATAGGAGGGGGGGGGAGTTGTACGGTGGGTAAAGGGGAGAATATCTGAGACTGTTATAGGATTTCTTTCCTTTACGGCACAGTGTGTATCTTGAAAATACTTAAAGTGAAAAAAAAACTTGACCCTAAAAGAGATATTAAACGTGATATTTGACGTGGCATTTGACGTGACACTTGATGTGACGTGATACTAGACGTGACATTTTTACAAGATGTCGCACTTCACGCGACACCACAGGTGACATTAAATGTGACATTAAATGTGACATCAATTGTGACATTAAATGTGACATTAAATGTGACATTAAATGTGACATTAAACCTGGGTCTCAGAACTTAATTTGCCTTCCGAGTCAACTCAATCCACAACAGTTTAAAATGACAAACGAAATGTCTTTCCTAATGCTCTCACGTTAATCCGGGGTAAACTGATCTAGACGGAGTAAACGGGTCTAGAATAGACGGAAACAAAACGTAGATCTAGACGGAGTAGACTGAACACATGTATAAAATGTAGATCTAGATGGAGTAAACTAAACAGGGTAATAAAATGTAGATCTAGTCATTGATCATCTGCCCACACCCCAAAAGTGTACCCAGACCAGACTAGGATCATCAGCTGACGTATGGGGTGAGTTGGGTGTAAATATTTTTACTGTACATGTGGGGGGCAGAGAAGGCAGCAGTTTTACAGCGTCTGGTTTAGATCAAGCGTGTCAAAAAGCTTGTTAAACATTTTGTTAAACATTTTGTTAAACATGTTGTTAAACAGCGAGTTCAACAGCTAGTTAAACAGCTGGTTAGACGTATCAATAGAGAAATTACAGGTAGGGTTGGGTAATCGTAAGTAACAGGTAGGGTTGGATAATCGTATGTAACAGGTAGGGTTGGCTAATCGTATGTAACAGGTAGGGTTGGCTAATCGTATGTAACAGGTAGGGTTGGCTAATCGTATGTAACAGGTAGGGTTGGCTAATCGTATGTAACAGGTAGGGTTGGGATGGCACTTCCAGCGGAGTCG